GTCTGACTCCGCTTTGTACTACTATACACTGTGTTAGTTTTCCATTTATCTTTATCTGTATTCGATTATGTAAGTAGATGTTTTCGATGGTTTGTATAATATTGATTGGTAAGTTCCTTCCTAAGCACTAAAAAACAATAAGTCAGCAGGTCCGGACAATGTACCCTGCGAAATATTAAAGATCCTATGTAAATCAGACAAACAGTTCCTTGACAATCTAGTTGTACTTTTTAACAACATATATAATAGCGGTAAAATCCCGGAGAACTGGCTACAGTCAACATTTATTACAATCCCGAAGAAACCAAATGCCCAGATTTGTGATGACTACCGGCTCATAAGCTTGATCAATCATGTCACTAAAGCGTTCACTAAGATCATTCACAGAAGAATATATGATAAATGTGAGTCAAATATTGATAGATCGCAGTTTGGTTTTCGGAAAGCACTTGGAACTAGAGAAGCAATTTTCGCTCTCCAGGTGCTTATACAACGGTGTAGAGACGTTGATAAAGACAGGTATTGACGACAAGGACATTCGAATTGTGGCAAACCTATACTGGGGTCAAACAGCAAGAGCAAAAATTGGCAACGAACTCACTGAAAGCGTGCAGATCAAAAGGGATGTCCGTCAGGGGTGTATATTATCCCCACTCCTATTCAATATGTATTCCGAGGAAATATTTAACAAATGTATGGAAAATGCAAATGAGGGCATTAAAATAAACGGCGAGTTAACGAACAATATAAGATACGCCGACGACACGGTGATCCTTGCCAGTACCATAGACGAATTACAACAAGTAATGGAAAGACTTTATTCAGTTAGTGAGGAATACGGCCTGAGCCTCAACTTCAAGAAGACAAAGTGGATGCTGACAAGCAAAAAGCAACAACCTGCTCGACAATTACGGATAAGTAACATATTAATTGACCATGTAGAATCTTATGTATACCTTGGCACCAACGTAAATGCAAAATGGGAACAGACCATAGAAATTAAGGCGAGAATAGAACGAGCTAGAGCAGCATTTAGCAATATGAAAAAGCTCCTCATATGCAAGGATTTGTCTCTTCCCCTAAAACTACGTATAGTTAAATGCTACATTTTTTCCGATCTTGCTGTATGGCGTGGAGGCCTGGACGCTGACGGAGACGCTAACGAGAAAACTAGAAGCATTCGAAATGTGGGTGTACCGACGCATTCTTCGTATATCCTGGACCGAACATGTCACCAACATAGAGGTACTCCAAAGAATCGGAAAGGAGAAAGAAATCGTGAATACAATTAAACAAAGAAAGCTTGAATATCTAGGCCACATATTGAGACACGATAAGTACCGTCTGCTACAATTGATTGTCCAGGGAAAAATAGACAGTAAGCGAGGGCCAGGCAGGAGAAGACACTCGTGGCTCCAAAATCTGCGGAAGTGGTTCGGGCTCACATCGGTCGAACTATTCAGAAGCGCCGCAAACAAGATCAAAATTGCCATGTTAATAGCCAACGTTCGCAACGGACAGGGCACTTGAAGAAGAAGAAGAAGTTCCTTTTATACAGTAGGTGTAAGACATCTTCGGACTTGGACTTGGATGTGATCAAAAGCCTTTGTCAGGTCTATAAAACATAGATATGCTGGTTGCTGGTTTATTGTACTAAATGGCCTTTTCTGTGATTTGTCTTAATACAGATACGGCATCTACGCAGGATCTTCTGGATCTGAACCCTTATTGTTCATCTGATAATGTTGTTAATTTATTGACTTTGTTGGTTAGGGCTTTTGTGGTTAGCTTAAATGCGGTGTTCAGTAAATTTATACCTCTATAAATGTTGGGGTCTTCTTTATCTCCTTTCTTGAACATTGATATCATTATGCTGTTTCTCCATGCGTTTGGTAGCTTGCAGTGCAATATTAGTTTTTGTATAAGTTTTGTCATCTCTAGGGTTATACTTTCTTCTCCGTGTTTTAGGATCTTGTTGGTTATTACGTCTGGTGCTAGTGACTTTCTATTTATGAGTGAATTCATGGCTATCTCTACTTCCTGAAAACTGATTTCTATTTCAGGTCTTAATTCAGGTACGTTATTGTGTTCATTATTATTTTCCTTTGCTTTAAACAGTTCCGTCAGATATATTTTCCATTAGTTTGGTGGTATGTTATCATATTTCTTAAATTTTTCTATTTCTTTCCGTTGGTTTCTTATGAATCTCTATATTTGATTATGTGTTCAATAGAAGTCGCTTTCCATCCTTTTTGTAAACTGTTCCCAGTGTTCATTTTTTTCTTCTTCTTACCAACTGTTTTGTTTCTTTTCGTTTTTTTCTATATAGGTGTCTCGAGATTCTGAAGCATTTTATGTTGTGTAATTCGTGTAGGCCTCTCGTTTCTTTTTACATTTCTCTTTTATTTCTTTTCTAAACTTGTTAAAAAAAATTGACCAATTTTATGACCAAAGATTACAAAAAGTCAGAAAAAATCAATAACAAGTATAATTTACTAAAATATTGACTAAAAAAAGATAATAAATTGCATAACAAAGCCTTGGATAAAGCCCTTTGTGTTTAATTATAATAATTAAAAATATTGTGGTATAAGCGATAGGACAAAATCACAGGAACGCGAAATCGCGTATGCGGTACGCATCTAAACATTGCGTATATGTATTTAGCACCTAGGAGTTTTCTATTGGCCCTTTGAGACACGCGGTCATGTTTCAACCAATAGCAGGTGAGGTGCCAAACACGTATATGGAATGTTCCTTTGGTGCGAAATTCGTATGCGGAATGTTAAATATTCGTACACCAAAAAAGACGACTTTTTATTTTATTTTATTAGACGACGAAAATCAGTTAAAAGGAGACTGATTTTAAAAAAATTATATTGTATGATTAAAGAAAACTAAAACAATGCAATAGCAAATAAAACAAAATATATTTAAATAAGTTATAAAATGTTTTTAACAGCTTAACATGTAATATCTATGCGAAATTCAGTACTCTTCGACATGTTTAGTACCTAATGAATATTGCTATTTAAACAAATTCAATTGTTTTTGAACTGGTTTATTAACGTTAAAATTATTGCGACAAACATTATCCCATCTTAAAACAAAAACCGCTTGGGAAAGTTTTTTAAACACGGCAGGAGGTTCCTCGGCAAGGCGGTTTGGAGACAAGGCCAATATAAGAGTGCAACTAACTTCAATTATCCGAAGAAGATTGGGAATTGGGGCACCACGTGGTGCCATTTAGAGGTGAACCATTTAAAAAAAGGTTAAAAACGCGTCACAATCTTTCATCTAGCATCGTAAAACATCAAATAAAGACAACTGAACATAGCGAAGGGCATTGAATTTCACATAAATATTACATTTTAAATATTTAAAATTTTTTATAATTTATTTAAATATATTTTCTTTAATTTCCTATTGCATTGTTTTAGTTTTCTTTAATCATACATTAGAAATATTTTTAAATCAGTCTCCATTTAACTGATTTTAACTTTAACCTTCTCCGTTTTTGTATATTCGCACAATAATGTTGTTCTGCCAGTATTTAGTGATAGTTTTTTTTCCACGCCTCTTTATATATTCCATAGCCAGTTTATACCTTATTCTCCCATATATTTTACGTTTTCGTTTTAATCTCCCCATCTCCACTGGACTTGCCTATTTTTATGTTTGATATTCCTTCTATGACTGCTTCTCTACTTATTTGCTCTAACTCTATGTTTTCTTCGCATTTATTTATTACATTGTCTTATTTTATTATTTCGGTGTCAATTTTTTTTAGGAAAACTAATAAAGAAGTACTAAGGAGCGTCAACAAAGATAGAGAACTGCTATAAACTGTTAAACATCGAAAAATGTCTTATCTGGGACATATATTATAGTAAGGGGAAGTCGATATAAAATATTACAGCTGACCCTTAAAGCAAAATAGAGTGTCGTCGAGGCGTAGGAAGAAAACAAGTTTCTTGGTTAAAAAAACATTCGTGAATAGACTTAGATATCAAATGCTGGACAATTATTTCATATTGCAGAAGATCGAGAAGCCTTTGCAAAGGTGATCGCCAACGTCGGATAATTCTGATATGACACGCAAAGAAAAAGATCAAATTTTTTCTTATAATATTCTTTCCATACACTAGTTATTTGTTTTGGTTTTATTTGAAGTTGCTTTGATGTATCTCTTACTGCATTTATTTCCTTTTCCTATAATATTTTTCTTTACCTTCTTCTAATCCCGTTTCAATGTATTTTTTACATGACATTTTTTTCTTTTTTATTTCTGCCTTCACTATTTTTATCCACTATCTTTTTATTTTTAACTGTACATTTTTTAATTCCATACACTTCAGTTGCTGTTTTATTTAACACATTACTGTAAGTATTCCATCTTTCTTGCATTGCCCATGTTTCCTTTGGGCCCTCTATTTGTATCATTCTTTTGATAGTTTCCTTATTGTTCTTGCACACTTTCTTTCCCTTACCAGAGCATTTCATTATAAGTGTTTATGTTCGTATCACTTTTTTGAGCTATTTTTGAAACGATTACTTGGAATTTTTGACGATTGACGAATATCGGTTTTTTACAAGTAATTAACAACAATTTATGTTTAGGTTAATGTCGAAGTTTTTTTTTATTATATGCGGTAACTCGATAAATTAAACATTTAATTATCATAACACTCATAATGTGTAATATTTTTGTGTATTTATAAGCCAATGAATGTATTTCAATTTGTATAGAAACCACACCATTTCAATATTTATTATAAATGTAATACCTTTAATACATTTTTATTATAGTTATTTATTTTGATGATTTATTTTGTGTAAATTGAAGTTTTCAATAATTTTTGGTCCGCAAATTTAGCGTTAAGTTTGTGGTCTAATAGATATTCTTTAATAATATTCAGCAGTTCAAATATCAAAATTATTTAAAAATTAAATCGGTGAACAAAATGGAACCTATCAATAAATAAATATATTTTTCTTACTTGTATTAATCTTCCTTGATAATTTTTCTTCTAGTACTTCAACGGCTTCTTTGTCCCAATAATCCTGTCGTTTTTCCTGGTCCATTTCTTCTTGAGTTCTGTTTCTGACTAGCTTATTCGGATATGGCGAAATGTCATCATCTAAAACAAATCGATACCAACGTGTAAATATGACAATTTGATTGGAAAAAAACTATAAAAACTATTCTTATTTTTATCTATCTATGTCGGAGGTGACACGATGCTTATCGTAATCAAGAATGTTCACCAACTGCGTGATCAGATGACATCAAGCGCATCCAGTACAACTAGATTTAGGGTGATCAAGATCGGATGCAATGGAATTATTTACGGGAGGCTTATGTTGAGTAATGGGATCAAAACGGCTAATGATGATGGTTGGGGTATTACAGCTTCTTGACGCATCCCGCGAGGTTTAATAAAATGAGAAACACCAAGCAATAAGGTCCCTTCTTTTTCCTTACTGCCTATACATAGGATGATCCGATACGTCAGCGTATTCTTCTTACTATTATTACTTTTATCTTTCCTCTTATTTATTTATTTGTGGTATAGCCCCATTATCAGTTAAATGTATAAAATTGATAATATACAGCGTATGCCATCGAAAAATGTCAACCCAGATATTGTTTTTTCAGATTAATGAAAAACAATACTCGCGCACATCAATTTCGTTGTTTGGAAACAATATTTTATAAATATGTTAGTAGGATGATGGATTGGCCAGTGGACAAAAAAGATTATGGCATCCGAGACAAGAATAGTACAGAAGTACAGCAATGAACAATTTGGGCTTTTTCGATAGAAAGATAGATATATAGATACAAGAATATATAAATAGATAGGGAAATAAAATCATAATCATTCACAAATTTCGATCCCTAAAGCAAAGGTGTCCTTTAAGTCTAAAATATTCAGATATATAGTCAGAAATAGAAATAGTCATCGTGTGGGACATTGTTTTAAGGATAGTTTTTTGTCTTTTTAACGGCATCTCGTATTATAATTTAAAATGAAAACTTCTCAAGAAACTAATTTTTAATATGTGAAATTTAAAAAAGTTTATCGAAAACAATTTTAAAGATGCGATTCAAAATAGTAGTTAAATCTAAGAAAAAGATAATTTAGTGCTTCATTTGTTTCTGTTAACGTTATCGTCTAAATAATGTATAATATTTAAAACAGAGTTAAAGTTTTTTTCTTTTGTTGAAAATATATTCAAGGAACTACCGAGATAGCCACAGATCTGATACTTATGTCGGTGAACTAATTAGAAAATTTTAAGAAACTAGATCTGTGGCAAACAAAATAGGACAATCAAAAATACGGTAAAAAATATTTTGGACTATGTTACAATGAAACTAATTTGAGTACAAGAAAATTGTTAGCATTACCTATTTCAGCTGTCCGATGGACAACCGTTCAAAGAATATTAAAACGATACAAATTTCACCCTTATCAAATTAGTCGACTTCATGAACTAAATGGAGATAATTCTGATCGCGTTTAGAATTTTTCTTATTTATCACTGTAAACAATTTTTTGGAAATACTAATTATGTCTTTCTGGTGAGTGCTGGTTTTACCTAAATAGTGTTATCGTCATAACTGTGTTTATATGTCGGATAACGATTAGAAAATATTTCTTAAGTTTCACACCCAACTTTAACCCTTTCACTCCTGATTTGTCTATTTTAAAATTTGATATATCTGTCTGTAGTTTGTTGTTATAGAGCATTAAAAAAAACTAAAAATGTATTTAAAAAAAATTATTTTTTATTTTGTTTTTGGTAAAAATGCATGGGAGTATCCCAACAGTACTTTTGTATGTACACATGAACGATAAATGTTTATACATCATGTGGCGTAAAACAATCGCTACATGACGGAACATCACACATTTTACAAATAAATTTTGTGCGTTTATCTTTCTTATGTTGTGTACACCTTATACACCTCAAGCGACTGGATTTTTCTAATATAGGTAAATAGTCGTCAAAATTACTCATCACTGTGGCTGACATGCTTTGACGGCCAACATGTTTGGCTTTTTTCTTCTTTGGAGTCCTTCTCGACCAATACTTATAAGAATGTCAGCTAAGTCAATCACATAATTTAGAAAGGGTAATTTCTTATTTCTGGTATGTAACTTAGTATATAGAATATATGAATTGTATACTGCCATCATTAAAACTTTGTAGTAAACCTCCTTCCACCATTTTTGGGATTTTCTATTAAGATCGTACATGGATGTCATTTGATCACATCTATCTACAACTCCCATATAACGGTTATAAATCTCAATTGATACAGGACAACAAATGTTGGCTTTTGTACCATCTTTTAGTTTTCTACACACAGTTGTTTCTTCTGGCTTATGGCAGTTGGTTAGTACAATAAAATCTTTTGTATCCTGCCATCGCATAGCTAATGTTCCAGTTTCATTACCTTTCACTTGCTATTTTCCTCCATTTAGCTTGCCATGAAATTTGGGAAATTTTTTCGTGTACTCATGCATGTACCGACAGCAGGAAACATAATGATATCCATAAGATGAACTGTTGTAAAGAATCTGTCGAAGAAGATTACAACATTTTCATTATAAATTGTTGAAGATAACTGATTTACGACAGGTTCTCCCAAAGTACCTGCCATATTATTATCATTTTTGCCTCCGTACACATTTATTTAAACGCCGTTTGCAACAGTACTTAGACAACCAAATTCCCCAAGAACAAGCAGGCTTTGTCAAAGGGAAGGGTACGAGAGAGCAAATCCTTAATATGCGGCAGCTCATAGAAAAGGCCTGCGAATTTAAAATTCCAATAATAATCTGTTTTCTAGACTACCAAAAGGCATTTGATTGTGTAAAGTGGGAAGTTCTCTGAACAGTTCTTCATGAGATGGGAGTTCCAGATCATTTGGCAATATTAATTAAAAACTTATACGAAGATAACTCAGTGAAAACCAGCAATCTGATACCTTCAAAACCAGCAGAGGTGTAAGACAAGGCTGCATACTATCTCCAGACCTGTTCAATTTATATGGAGAATACATAATGAGGAACGCACTCGATGGATGGAGAGGCGGCATCTCCATTGCAGAGAAAAAGATCTCAAACTTAAGATTCGCAGACGATACAACACTGATAGCAACATCTGAAGAGGAGATGTCGAGACTGATAAAGAGAGTAGAAACCGAAAGCAACAAGTGTGGGCTCAAGATTAATAATCAGAAAACAAAAATCATGAGTGTCGACCACGCGAATATCCTCCAAACAACAGGCGCCCTAAATCAATACGAGAAAGTAGACGAGTTCACGTATCTAGGATCTTCCTTAAGCAATACAGCCTCCTGCCATACGGAAATTCGCAGAAGAATAGGAATGGCCAAGAACGCGATGAGTCGACTGTCAAAAATATGGAAGGACCGCTCTTTGTCCAAAAAACTCAAAATGAGACTGGTACGGACACTTGTTTTTTCAATCTTTAGTTACGGTGCCGAAACATGGACAATAAAATCAGAGGATAGGAAAAGGATTGACGCATTCGAAATGTGGTGCTGGAGACGAATGCTACGCGTCTCGTGGACGGAGCACAGATCCAATCAGTCAATTCTCGAAGAGCTAAACATTCAGACCAGACTCTCCTCTCAGTGTTTTGCAAATGTTTTAAAGTTTTTTGGCCACATTGCGAGAAAAGACAATGACAACATAGAAAGACTAATTGTGTGCGGAAACGTAGAAGGACGTAGAGGCCGAGGACGCTCACCTATCCGATGGTCAGATCAAGTACAGAAAGCCACTGGAGAGACGTTTTCCGAGACCATGAGAGCAGCCCAAAATCGCAAGAGATGGGGAGAATTGACAGCCCGCATTGTAGGGAATCACGATCCTCAGCAATGAGGAAACGACAAGAGAGAGACACATTTATATCGTAAACATAGCCAGTTTCCGAATCGCATCTTGTCCAAAACTTTATGCCGCGTTTTATGGATTTGAGGGACATATACTGTTTCAATGTAGATCGTTCTTTGAATTTTGCCATAGACTCATCAATTGCTTGATAGGTAGAATCACTTCTAGCTCTCATAAAACTTGTCTTTAAGCAGGAATTAACATAATCTATAGAATAAGTTTTATTTACTGTGGCAGGTTTATTGGGTTAGGCCAAATACAATTTTAATAATAGTAGTTGGCACCAATACCTTGATATTGCACTATAGTGTTTCCAAGCGATTATTTATTAGGCCAGTATATAGCGAAAGAAGTAACTCCGTTATAATGCATAACTAACGTAACACCAGTCAGTAGTATTATGTATTTTTGGCACGTTTTGACAAAAGTTTTCTTCTTTTTCTTGTCTAAAATTTCAGTCCTACGGTTTGTACACTGGGCCATATACATAAACAAACTTTTAGGAAATACTTTTAGAAAACAGTCTAATGCAGAACTGCCTCGATTCAATTGATGTGTAATAACTGGGTCAGTTCTGGCTGGTACATCATATCTCGGAATAAAATTTTTTGCATTGACATCAGTCCACACAGCGGAAAATTCTATACTAGTTGTCGGCAAAGGTTGCATAACCTCGTCTGCATCTTGGATATTTTCATCATCGTCATAGGATTCCTGATCTGAAATTTGAGCTGCGTTCTCAGTTTCTCTACCTATATTCACTTCACTTTCAAGTGAACTTGCCTCACTTAGTTTATCTGATGACAAAATGAAGTCGTTATCCATCATACTTTCATCATTACCAAAGTCTATACTTTCAATTTTATTAATGTTATTAGCATAGTAATCAAGTTCATCTTCGGTAAGTTTCTGTTTCTTTCGATCCATGCTAAAAAAAAGGAAGTTGTTTATACCTATCGGGATATTTCCCACTAAAAACACCTGTTGGGATATATAATCCCATTCGAGATTTATTGTCGATTACGATAAATTTCGTACTGAGCAGCAATATTAAATAATGTATTCACCTATCTTAATCTTTTATAATCAACAATCAGCAACCAAAAATTGTCCTTACGCCAACAGAAATATGTTATCAACACAGTTTTATATGATCACAACGTGTTCACATTACACTAATTTTGGGTTAAAATTTGATGCTGACG